GTCGGCGGGCGGGTCGATTCAAGTCAAAGTCGTGTGTGGTGCAGTGAGTGCGTGAAATGCGGTGTTCACGAGTAATCGAGTCACAAAGGGTTCACCTAAGACTGTTTGATCTTATAGGAACTCATTTTCGGGCCCTCTACATGTTGGTCCTTAGCCCTTGCAACTAGAAGTTGAGTGCTTGGAACCACTCATGCGAGTTCTTCACAAAAATGAGTCGAGAAGTGGTTTGAAGTTCTACGAGAAGTGGGCTCCATTGCTAGTCCGCTAGGATGGTCAACAAGAAACTCCTAAGGCTAGATTTTGGGTTCTGGGAGTAGGAGACTAAGACCCACTAAAAATGAGGTCAACACTAAGCTCAAGTTTTTAATTTTTAATGGAATTTTACATCAAATTGTGTAGCACCAGTTATAACCAAACACAGATTCATCCTTACGATGAGCAAAAAAAGTAGATTTTAAGATGGCCAATGTGCCATATGAATACAGACTATTAATATGGTATTTCTAAAACACTAATATTTTATGAGAATAATGAACCGAGTTCTTAGACTATTTATTAGTAAATTCCTAGTTCTATGGTTTGATGACATCCTCGTTTAGAATACATCTAAAATCAATCATTTTCCACAAAAGATCGAAGACATTTCAATATAATAAGTTATATCTTAATTTGAAGTGATCTTTCTTTCTAGTCATAATTCATGTTCTTAGATTTTAAGGTCTATTCCAAAGGATTGCTGACAAAAGGTTAAATTATTACAGATTGGCCTCAAACAGTCAATTTCTGATGTTCTAACATTCAATGAAGGATAGCATCAGATTGTTTTGCTAACATAAAAATTGATTATATTTTGAGCTTATGATGATGGCATATCCTTTGTTTTTCTTTTTTGCATGCCTAATCTTGAACCTTGAGAAGCCTTGAGCGATTTGCATTTTATTGATATTTAGTATTTGATGACATAACCATGTAACTTTCAGTAAAGTTAAATAGTGATGGAGTCAAACTACAAGAACACCTTGAGTTTAACCATAGCCCCAATGGTTGAGCAAGAATTCTCACTTAGTTGTGCATTTTTTGACCCAGATCATGAAGTTCTTCAATTGGAATGCCATAAGATTATTTTAGAACTATGCAGCAGAAGCTAGCGAAATATTTTTAATAAGATTTTTTCCTCTTTCATGCTAATTGATTATTAAATACAAAATGGCATATGATGAATATAATTATAATCAATACAAAATTAGTTGATGACAGAATTCAGACTAATAGGTTCTTAGAAAATGATGTCAGAGAGGGCAACACTGCTACATTGAATATTTAATGTATACGCGTGAGGTATTTCAAACACAATAAACTACCTGCATCAATCTGCAAAACAGTATAAATTACAAGCATACTGAGAACAAGTAGATAACTCTTAAGAGAAATTGAAAAACTGTACATGTAGATGATAAGTTCAAGCAAAGTAGGAATTTAAATATGGAGAAAATATTAAGAAAATTAAAAATTAAATGAGGAATTTATTGGAACTAAAATATATTTATCTGGAACATAGTAAAAAAAACAAAGAAACAAAGTAAGAAAAAAAAAGAAACTCTATCTAACCATCAACTCTTTTGTATAGATGATCAATTGGTAATGAGTATTTACGACAGAAACCCTCTGCAGCCTGATGAAAAAAATCTCAGATCAGCAAAACTAATTACCTTTTCAAGTATTTAATAAAAGTATCTAGCAGGATTATCAAAAACGATAGCTGACAAATTTAAAGATCATAAGAAATAAATAAGATTTTTAATATCTTAACATCAGCCACAAAAGCAATTTTGGCAAGAAGTCATCACAAAGTGGTATATTAAATAAGGAGGTTGCTAGTCGCTATAACCCACTATGCCAGGAAAATAAATAAAAAAATAAAGTCAAGATCAACAAAGAGCTCATGTTGAATTGAAAACAAAAACAAACGAGCTTCACATTGAATTATGAATAATCTAAGGAAATGCAAGTATGTGAAAGACAAATATGAAGAATCATAAAAGAATTAAAAAGTTTAAGAATTTCTTTCAGGTAAAAAATATCAAATAAAATGCACTGAATCCATGTGAATCTCCAAAGGAACATGATTTAGGATCAGAGCAATAGAGGCGAAGATTTAATGAAATTTATATACATTGATTGCTGAAAAGGGAGAATAAGTTTATGTAGAAGACGAAGCTGCAATAAAAATATTTAAAAAATTATTATAAGAAATGACTGAATTACTCAAATGGAGGGAAACAAAGGTGAAAAGATACAGAGGAAACGGAAAAGAACATATTTATGAGAGGGATAATGTGATCTCCAAGGAGGAAGCAGAGAATTGCCTTATTTTATCTATCATCAACTATCCTCAATATATTAGTTGTCCTACTATATATAGCCACAATATCATGGTTCATATTATACAATAACAAAATGACACATCGCTAATGAAGTGTGATAAGTCTAACCCAAAAAGTTGAAATGATAGAAAGGAAGAATTGGAGATGCCTGACTGTGCATCATGAGTAGCGTTGTTGTTATCTCCTATTTCAACATATTACGTGTTTGTTATAACCACCTATTTAATTTCAGTAATAATATGTGTTTTTCTTATTGTAGATTGGGACAACTCTGATATTAATCAAATAGATGATGGTGGTTTTAATTTGTTGTAAGAGTTTGTACTTTTCACGAGCAATAGTATGGCTAATATAATATCATTTGCATGACAAAAATCTGATGTCTCATACTTTTTGGCTTTTAGTTGAGTTTTTAACGGCGCTCTCAACCAAGCCACTTTTCTCTATGAGTTCCTAATGTTAGTTTTCATAAGATTCCAAGTCCACTAAAGTTGGAAATCACGCTATTATGCGCAAAAACATTGGCTTCTCTAGGCAAGTTCCGTTCAATTGCCACATTGTGCTTAGAGAATCCAATTGGTAAAACCCTCTTACAAAATGACTTGGTTGTAATTGAGGATTCAATAAATAGCATCAGAAAAATATACTTCATAGCCAATGGTGGCATAGACTTGAGCACAGCCTTACATATAAAGGTGTTCACATAGAGCTTGCCAAGTTTCCTGGAGACTAGAGTGCACCCATGTTCATAGTTCCTCGTGAGATCCTCACCCATAGCAGCCTCACCCTCTCTATCATTCAAATCACTCCTCTACTAAGTTATCAGAGATCTTATCCGGAGACCTTTTCTCCACCACTGGCAGTTCTCCAACGAATATAGTTGGGCATTTCCCTCAACAAAGAAGAGCGACTCTCTTCTCCAGCAAGGCAAACAACATTCTTCTCTGATGTTGGTGAGTTCCCATACAGCTTTCTTCTTTAGTGGATGCTAAGATTGCTTCTACAATGACTTAAAGCTTCTGGAATGGATGTCGAGCCAAAAGGGTCTCTTGTGGCTGACAGTAAGACTGAGATAGAGATAGGCTATGATGAGAGAGATGCAGCGAGTAAGTGCTAAAGGTGCGATCAAAAGAATGAGGGCATGCAGTTTTTGCCGCTTTAATATGGAGCTTGTTTGACAGAGAAAATAGGGAGAGGCAAGGACCATCAATTTATTTCTATAGGAGAGTGAGGATGGGAAAAGAGCAAAATGGAGAGATCAAATTAAGTGGTCCGTATGAAATAGAGATACGGATGGAAATAGGACGTATGAGCGAGTTTGGGTGTAGAAAATGGGCAGTGACAAAAAAGTTTTCAATTTTAGCTCTAAATAAACAAAGCCAGACATCCAAAATTAACATTATGGTGGACAGAATTTGCAGGATTCGGAGGGATAAATGTGGCTACTTGGAAATGGAATGGAATGGAATAGAAATTTAATGAAGGTTTTCAAATTAAAAAAACTGATGATATTAATATTTAAAATAAATATGATTTAGAAATTTTGACATTTGCATTCATCAGTGCAGATCATTTGTGAAAGAATAACAGTTATAAATTTGATTGTCGTAGAGGCCTTTCAAAATTAATTTACAAATTGTTGCATTTGTCATCTATCTTTATTGTTTCATTTGATTGGATAGAAGGTTGAGCAGATATTATGAACAACACGTGCCTTGACAATCTTATCATATCATGAAAGCTCTCCATGTTTGCATTACTTTCCAAAAAAAAAAACTTTTAAATATTTAGTATCATGCATAAAGAACTCGCTAAACCATGTGTTGGTGCAATAGGACTCACATGTTATTGAACTTTGATAAACTATTGTAGAAAGCGTCAAAGCAAAAAAACCTTTGTGTTGGTGCAATAGGACTCACATGTTATTGAACTATGATAAACTATTGTAGAAAGCGTCAAGATCCAAGCAAAAAAACCTCATTAAGCACTCAAACCTAATTAAAACATCAACTTTGATACCAGTTGTTAGATGAGATATAAATCAAGGGAAGACCAAAAATTGGCCTAGTAGTCAAATGCATATTAAACTCAAATTATTAAGCTTATTGCTGAGAGACAAAAACCAAAATATGTTTCAACAATCTAACAAAAGGCTAAACCCAATTCTTACGCACTCTTTAGCATCAAGGCTAAAAAAATTGCACATACATAAACAAATGATAATGTCCGATTGGCTCTGAAAGTAGCATCTACTGAAGATATGATAATGGAATTAGGTGGTTTATGCATAAATAATGAAAGATAGAAGATACAACAATAAGTTGGGTAAAAAAACTATTGTTCAATGATTAGAAGGTGAAAAAATTAAATTAGAGATATTTTGGAAAAAATTTGTGCAAAACAAATTGAGGAAAATAAGTTTAAGTTGATAATTTTAATAGAATTGGTGAAAAAGATTTACATAAAAAAAGTTTTAACATCTATGTTCATTCAACAAAGACAAATAAAAAATGAAGATTCATGAGACAAGTCCCAAATAATTGGGACAAGAAGATCGAGAAGAATGACAAGACAATACAAGGTATAGAAAAACTTTAATTATCAATTATAATAATAATACCTAAACGCTAGCAGGACTGAAGATCAAAATATCCAAACCTTAGTATGCTTTCCATCATGATCAAATGCCCTTGTTGCAGGTGGTCCACGTATCTCAACCTCATTATCTCCCTGCCTTAAACTGAGATTTTCAATGCATATCTGCATTAGATGAAACTTGAGCTTCAAAATTTTTTCAGAAATAACAGGATAAATAACGAACTGTCCATTAATAAATTAAGAAAAAAACAGCAGCAGTGCAATATAAGGGATACTTCAACAGCAAAATTACATTGAACTAAGCATGTTTTAAATCCAGACAAGCCTTTTATTTGTTTCCCACCCAAGCAAGCAACAAATTGAGAACCATATAAAACTACTTGAAGCAGCATGTGTAAACATAACTTTCTGTGACGTACCTTTTTGAGTAAAAGCGTATCTCCTCAGTTGATACAAGTCAGCAGCCAATAATAAAAAGCAAATCGAATAAAGAACAAGTTTATATTTTACAGCATCAGAACAAACAAACAAAAAAAAATAGCACCTTAGAACTTAAAAAAAGAATTACCATGCACTCCTAGCTAAGCACATAGCGAACCAATGCCATTTGCAACACAAGATTAAAATGAAATTTGAAAGGTGAAATGAATTAATAACTTAATATTAGTATTGTTTGGCGAATCAACATAACAATAAAAATATTTAGATATCCAAATGCAAAGAGAAGAAGAATACCTTTTGTTAAATGTACTTACGAATCTACAGTCAGCTATCATAACTTACAGTAATTGGTTTATATAAGATCATCACAGACATAAATAAATGTGAAAAAAACATGCATGTTTCTTTAAGCCTAGAGAAGCTCATCGCAAAGTAAATTAGCACTATGAGACCAATGAAATGTACTTTAATAAAATTATACAAAATCAAGGCATGCATGAAACAGAATTTCTAAATATGAGGCTTTGCACTTTTTGTAAGTCAAACTCCAAAACAAGGTAGCTTGCTATGATATTGTACGAAAAACAGTGCACTTGAGAGACTTTTCATTCCTATGAATATCATTGAAAAGAAAAAAAATTAGCCACAAAATTTATCAAACCTATATCTTGCTGACACTAAGCTTAGAAATAGAATTAATTATTAGCAGATTATAATTAACCAAATACATAAACGTAAATCCATTATTGGAGAAATTACCACTAGTCGACGTGGCGTACCATGAGCCACAACTTCTCCGTGGCCCAATCGCCGTTTTTCTAGTGTCAGCAAAATAAAACTTTTAAGCTGCAAATGAAGAAAATGAAGTTCTAGTGTCAGCAATAATAAGCTTTTAAGCTGCAAATGAAGAAAATGAAGTTTAAAGGGAAAATTTTTAAAAGAACACAATTAAGCTAATACACCCATTGTCAAAAAAATAGCTAAAAATGAAATTATTTGTGAGTTGTGATAATGGTCTAGATGTGAAGTTAACTTTATGTGCCTTTTAAAGTCAATATATCCTTTTTGATCTCATGTAAAACTTTTCCAATTAGAAACCTTATGCATGCACATTAAGGATGCATGAAGTTAAACTTCATTTCAAATTAATATGATAAGTACACAATGGAACAAAAGCTAGATTCTTACTTGCTCAATTGCATCAACTACATCATGAGGTGGCATTTCTTCAGTTCCAATCTCAAGAACAAAGGCACTGGGAACTTGCAGTACCTGCTGACAGTTTGGAAAAACACATTGTTGGCAAAAAAGAACTACAAAAGGGAAAACTACAGCAGAAATAATTCAAACTGTATGCGTTCGGCACAGTACAACAGGATTTGCTCTAGTGCCATGACACTTTGATTTTAGGGCATGCCCATCTAAGTAGACGTATTTACCACGGAAAAAGGTTTTAAGAAAAAAAAAAAGAGTTTAGTCCAATCAGCTTAAATGACAAAAAGCTCTAAAAATCAGAATACCAAGGACCATTGCTTTTTTGCATCTAATAGATTTTGGATCTAAAAATTTTATCAGGTGCTGCTACCAGAATCTTCATGACTGAGAAGAATTTCAGCACAGATTTGAGGCCTCGCCACACAAAAGATCAGACAAAAACAATAAATCAATGCCATAATAAAGTAACTAAAACAGAAAGTCTCAAGCTTTCTTAGGCCAAAAGTTTACTATAACTTTACCACTCGAAACTCAAAAAGAAAAAAAACCAATAGAGAGCCATTGATTAAAAAAAAATGACGAAGTGAAAAAATTTAGATCAGAATAAAGAAGATTTCGAGAATTTACTAATGAAAAAGAAATATAGAAAAATACATTTTGCATGGACACTAGTTTTATCATCTACAGAACATAAATTAAATGCAGCCACAGCTTGGTACATGATCGCACGTCTGACGTGGGAGAGCTCCGCTCCGCTCTGCAAGCTAGCCGCGCAACTCACGCAATCATTGGAGACAAGGAGATGCGCCAAATCAATCCTAATTTCTTTTTTATGATTTCTTTCTTATTATCATTCAATCCTTTTAAGTATTAACTCATATATGTGTTGTATTATGGTTTAGAAGCCGATTTTTCATGTTTTGTAACGAGATAGCCGTTGGCGTATCTTCATCCCTTCGAGGGTTGTATCCTAAGGTTTTAGCTGGTGCTTTGGTTGTATCTTGGTTTCCAGGTTGTGTTTATCATTCCCCTAACCTTCTGCACCCTTCCCTCATCTATCCCCATCAAGCATTCTGCACTACAGCTGCTGGAAAAACAGTTGTTACTGTTGTTTCCTGTAGTTCCACAATTTCCGCCCACCACCCTCCCCTCCCAGGCATGTTGCTGCCCTCCACCATTCTACAATCTTCCCGCATCGCTTCCCGCCTTCTTCCTTCGTTGACGCTGCCTGAAACTGTTGGAAATCCCTGTTTTCCAACAGTCTTGAAAATTCCTAGCCGCCTTCTTCTCTTTCGAACTTGTCGTCGCCTCCTAAAGTTCACCTTGATCCCCGCAACCCCCTGAAAGTCACCTACGATCCCCACCACCCCTTCCCTGCTGCCAATCCCTGTTTTCCAACAGTCTTGAAAATTCCTAGCCACCTTCTTCTCTTCCGAACTTGTCGTCGCCTCCTAAAATTCACCTTGATCCCCACAACCCCCTGAAACTCACCTACGATCCCCACCACCCCTTCCCTGCTGCCTTCTCTCATTCCAGCCCCTCAGGCCAGCCCATGCTTGCTGGTTTTGGTCGATTAAAACAATTCCTTGGTTGCTTCCACTTAAGACAACAAGCTAACATTGCCTTGCCACTATTTCCTCACAGCCCTGCACCCAACCTTGCCTTCACCTTTCCAAGCTCCTAACGGCCACCACTACTATGCGAGATCCACCCTAACAGTTTGTCATGTGTATTGCCTTGCCACTATTTCCTCACAGCCCTGCACCCGACCTTGCCTCCACCTTTCCAAGCTCCTAACAGCCACCACTACTATGTAAGATCCACCCTAATAGTTTGTCATGTGCTGTATTGCTGCTATTTTCTATTTTTTCGTGCCGTGTGTTGTTTTTGTTATTATTTTCCCTTTTAGTATGTTAGTTGTAACTGTGATACCAAAGGAGAAAGATCAATCCACAAAAAATCAACTTTTATTAATAAGAAAAGAGGGTAACAACGCACGTAAACTAAAAAATAACATCACCAAAACACAAACGAACACCTCGAAAGTGTATCCCAAGGGCGGTGGAGGTTGGTGGGAAGGTGGGGTACCAGCTGGGAGCAGCGGGACAGCAGTTGGGACGGCTGGCTACACAGAAAGGTGGAGGGGAAAAATCTGTACAGCAAGTTGATGCAGCAGAAACGGGGTCGGTAGCGCAGGGGAAGTTGTTGGGGATAGCCGGTGGCTAAGGGAAATAGAGGAGACGAAGTGGGAAAGATAAAATGGGAGATACAATCACCAACTCGAAGTAGGATACAGCAGGAACAGCACCACCTTCTCGGATAAAGCCCTAGAAGAGGGAAAACGATTCCAAAAAAAAAAAAAAATGAAGGCAAGACAAAGCAAGAATTAAACCCTAAATCCAGAAAACATAAATTTAAAGACTAACCAAGGAAAATAGAAAAGGAAAAGCTTCCATAAGGAAATCACAATAAAGGTAGGAGGGGAAGGGATTGGCGGCAATACCACACCTCCCAACATGTCGCGCGATCGAGCGGCGTGCAAGAAAAGAAGGAGAGTGGCACAAGTGGCTGGGCCCCTAGGCCAAACGCCCCGGGCCACTTTGCCAGGGTTCATCCTGGGCCGGTCCCCAAATAGTACAGTCAAGCCGATCCACGTCTACGGCTCGTGAGGGAGTCTTCTGCACCCCTCCCCGTTCGCACGGGAGTTCTTTGCACTCGCTTCATTCTCTTGGAGTTGGAGGAGCTTCGACCTCATTCGTCAAAGCTTCTATCGACACATGGACGGTGAGGGAGCGCTATTATAATCTTTTTAGACATGCATATTGTCAACTGTAGTCCTAGTAGGTCGATCCAATAGGTGTTATCGTTCCAAAGCACATTTTGGTAGAGTAGTTATCCGTCCACCTTTGGCATGCTTTGAGCAGGAACTGTAGATAGACGGGTATTCTCACGAAGCATGTATCAAGTCATCTCCGTCGTAACTCGCTTCTTCCACTCCTCATAGTCCGCTAAGTGCATCTCAGGTGAAATCTAGGGTGAAATTTGGGGCAAGCTGTGCCACTCTCCCTAGCTCCCACTCAAGAGAAACCTCTTCTCCACTCATAGGACCTAGATCCCACTGCAGAATTCTCGTGTTCATCAAGATCCCCGGGCACATTTCCAAGCTGAGGTTCATCTCTCCTGTTAAGATATCTGGTTATGGGTACCACGTGGAACAAGAAATAACCTTTGATTAACTCCATGTGATATTCTCGACATGGCACACAATGACTCCTCTTCTGATAAGTTGGATCTCCCCCCATAGGGATAACTCAAGAAAAGGTATATCCCTCTCACAAAGTTGTCTCTTTCTTATTTGTGGTGTGCCCTAAATCTGATGTCAAATCCTCAAGCTCGCGATCCTTTAAGACTGCCAAGGTCAACCCTGTTGCAGCTCCTCTCAACACCTGTGAAGCGGTATCTTGAGATACCACAATTTCACTCTGCTTGAATGATCACTACATCGAGTTCACTACCGTTCAGAATGGCTACTGTTACCTCAGCTGACATTTTTATCCCGGGTCTTTTAGAGCAGCTTGTGTCTCTTCGTTGGCTGAAAAATTAGAATCCTCTCTTCTTTTTGGTTACTGTTCATCTCTCAACTGGAAGCTGGTCTGCGATGTCTTTACCCAACTTTCCGATGACACCCTGGTCGGTAAAATAGGCCACTCCCCTAGTTGTGCATATTGCTTCTATATGTCTGAATCTGTGGCACTTGCAGCACGTTCTAGTTGTAACAGACTTACGGATTGGTTTTGCTGGATAGTTCCACTTAAAAAGGTAGACTCTGCAACTCCTGGCAATAGAAAGTTGGTAGGAACTGGCATTGTGTTTCCGCTTCATCTTCATATCTTCTCGTTCCCTCCTTCGGCCTTACAGATCACAGTAAAGAGTAACCTCCCATTGAATGTCCTTAATGTCTGCGAGCCTTCGTTGAAGTAGGCGGATCTTTCGGTGTATCTCCTCCCGAGAAGGCTCGCGCGTGTATCTCATTAGTGACATGGCTATGGTGTATTGTTGGGAGGTTAGAGAGGCCTAAAAAAATTAATTTAGAGTTAGTGATTTTGAAAATCAGCAAGAGGAATTGAGGGTTATGTTAAAGCTTTTGGATATGGTTAGGAATAGAAAAGAACACAATTTTTTAGGGGGTGGTTTGTGTGGTGGCAGATGTTAGATAACTCTAGGATGGGACTAAGAGGCTAGCTCTAATACCAAATGATAACGAAGAAAGATCAAACCACCAAAAACAACTTTTATTAAAGGAAAAGAAGGTTACAACACACAAACTAGAATTAACATACCAAAACACAAACGACACAAACGGACATCTCGAGAGTGTATCCCAAGGGCGGTGTAGGTTGATGGGAACGTGAGGTAGTAGTTGGGAGCAGCGGGACAGTAGTTGGGACGGTTGGCTGCTAGGAAAATAGTGGGGAAAGAGCAGGACAGCAAGTTATTGCAGCAGAAGCGGGGACAATAGGCGGTTAGTGGGGAAAGAGCAGAAACGGTCAAGTTATTGCAGTAGAAGCTCTCCCAACACTATGAGACTGAAGCGGGAGCGCTCCACTCCAGAAGCAGGACGCGATCACGCAATTCCCGCAATTGAGGGAGACGGAGAAATGAGCTCAATCAATCATAATTTCTTTTTTATATTTCTTTCCTATTATCCTTCATTCCTTTTTAGTTTTTTCTTATATATGTGTTGTGCTAGGGTATAGAAGCCAGTTTTTCAAGTGTTTTATAATGGGACAGTCGAAGGCTATGTATCCTAAGGTTCTAGATGATGCTTTGGTTGTATATTGGCCTTCAAGTGATGTTTATCCATCCCCTAACCTTTTGCACCTTCTCACATTGATCCACGTCCCCCCTCTCCACTGCAGTCGCCAAAACAGCAGCTTTTACTGTTGTTTCCAGCAGTTCCACCATTTCTAGCTACCTCCGTCCCTTCCCAGGCTTACTACCACCCAACACAGCTGCCCTCCACCATTCCCGCAATTCTTCCCACCTACTTCCTTTGCACT